GTAGCTCAGTGGTAAAGAAATACTTGACGCTAAATGGTCTCGTTTTCATTTTAATTCCAAACGAAACTGGGTACAGTTTGAAGTCAGTGGTTATAAAACATACCAAGGTTGATTAACCTTTCAAACTGAAGTTGAAAAATCTCTCGGTGATGTACTTCCCTGTCTCGTACGTTTCAAACAATAAACAGAGGGAGCCAAAAGCTGCGTAACGTCTGGGATCGGCGCGATGTCACGGTGGAAGGGTTCAGCTTGGTTTTGCGGATTTGGTTAATAAAAGAGTAAGACTTTTCTAGCGAGCATAAGACCTTTAAGACATCCATTTAAACGTCTTCTTGTAGAATAAAGAATGGTTAATCAACAAGGGTAGTTTTAACAAAAAATCAGTCTGCCCCGCTCAATATCAGTCGTAAGACGAACTATGCTACTATTATTTTCAGATGAGAGGCTCGAAAGAAGAAAAAGAGGCTTTCCATGACACTTTTGTTTTTTGGATATAGATCTATTAGAAGTTTGATGTATTCTGCTTCATTTAAGATAAAAATAAACAACTATAATCGACTATAAATATTTTATTTTGATTTATTTTGGAGGTGTGTGTGGTTTGTTGTGAGCTTGGGTGACGAGATAAAGGAATATGGACCTTGCAGGTGTGTTGCTGTGAGGTTATTTTTAGAACCATTACCTCATGGCCACCTTTGTTTCTACAAAAGATTCTCCACAAGAGGAAAATCTTAGCTCCAACGTTCTTTATTCGCAAGTATTCTTAGATTTTGACCCTTTTTCGAGCATGAATGGTCGGAAATGTAAGCAACTTTGATTGGTAAAACGGAGTAAAAACGATAACTTCTAGCTCACTTCAAGCTTGTTTACGTAAACAGCTGACTGTGTGGGCGTGCCCTGCTAGCTGCAATCGTCTGTTGATCGTTTAGTTTTACTCTTGGATTGACTTTAACAATTCGTTTTTATTGTATTTTAGAGCTTTCAAAACATTAATTATTTACCTTCCTCTAGATCTTTCGGGGGCCACCGAGGCGGTCTATGTGCATGTGTGCGTAGGTGTGTTGGTGTGTTTGTATGAGTGTGTATGTGTGTGCGTGCGTGTGTGTGTGTGTGTGTGTGTGTGTGTGTGTGTGTGTGTGTGTGTGTGTGTGTGTGTGTGTGTGTGTACTCTAGTGTGTTTATGGTGCTATCACAAACGTTAATCAGGTAGCGTAAACACGGCACGTAAGCCAACTCGCAGCCTTCCGAGCGTGTGGTTTCGGTGAAATGGGGGGCAATTCAGATATCTGTTTCTTTGCTCTTTTGCTATAAAACACCGCTAGCTGAACACTTAAAAAAAGGTCAGATTTTCTTCGTTATAATAGTGTAAGTTGTTTGTATAACCGGGTATTTGGAGCTGGAGAATCGCCGTGGAAAGGGAAGCCCCTCGTGGTCGGAATGCGAGCCCCCCCGGTTCAAAATTGACATCCATGCATTCGAATGCTTTGCTGAAGGATTGATGATTAAATACCGTCTTTTCATTGGCGGAGAACTATACAGCTTTCACTGAAACTGTCAGCGTGGTTTCCCGGGGTTATTATTTTTGGCCTTTGGCGTTTAGATAGAAAACCTTGAAAAAAAGGGTCTAAGTTCTCAAATATCATTTTTAAAACGAAATGTGTAAAATATAGGCTAAAAAAGGTACCAATAGAAAGAACAGTTCTTTCTCTATCAAAATAAAGTCATCGGCTTGGAATTATTTTGCATGAATCCTTCTGCGAAACTACCGGGAGCACTTAGTATACTACAGTATTGAGCCGGCTCGCTCACCGCGAAGGCTGGTGCGGCACTGGCCGAGACAACGCTCGGTGTTTTTATTGAAATAAGGACAGATCACCGTGTTTGGAGCAATAAAATACCGATTTGTAATGATTTCACACCCTTGAAAAATATTAGGCTTCATTTCTACGTTATAGTGAATGTTGTACTCTCTTAATGTAGAGACGTTTGGTGCCCTGGGTACTCTTTTACTACCAGTCAAACATGGGGTTGCAGCCAGTTAACGACTTCAGCAATATTTTATTATTGTGTTAACAGCTACCATTCTCTTAAACATTGACTGAGAGTGAGAGGTAAAAGTAAGGTACCAAAATTCTCATGTGACATAGGCCTTTCATATGAAACAGATGAATTTGACATACAGCTGCTTAGAAAATTTAATGTCTGGTACCTAGTATAATGCAACTATTTTGTTGCATTTGACGTGAAGTCCATTCTCGTTAAAATTTTGTTTGGTCCATAAGTTTTTTTCTCTGAGAATGAATAGTTTTCTACTTTTGTACGTTACCTTGTAGTGGCATAGCCAAGATAATTGCTAAATTTCAAGTCTCTATCTCAATTCTAAGTGTAAGACCCCCATTGCTATGGAAACATGTTGCTGAATTATGAAGGCCATTTTCCCCTTTTCGTGTTTCCTCACCTCGCACAATAAAAAGTTCTGTAATTTCGTCAAATATGGTCATATTTACTTCATTCTTGTTTTAAATAGTACGGAAATGGTGGTAGATTTTGAAAATTGTGTTAACTCAGTTTGAAATTTCCTTCATATGACTGATATTGATCGGCAGGGACACAAATTATGGTAAGTAGATTTCGAATAATCAATGGTTATACATTTTTCAACTGAAGATCTCTCAAGACTCAGGAGTCACACATTGACCTGGGAAAACCTGTTTGGAAGGTTATCACAAGGTCCTTAAAGACGTTTATCGGACTTGGTTGTTGGTCACCAAAATTAAACAAAAATAATAAATAAATATGGGTAGTTTGAACCCACTGTTGCAACGAGACGTCATGTCCGGAAACAAAACTCAGTGGGACTTTCCAAAGCTGAATCACACTGTAGTGAGCGCGTTCACCCAAGTGCGTACGTCTCTCCACATAGGGATTTGAGCTCATGCCTTGTGCAAGCGTTGACTAAACTCCTAGCCGCAACACTAAAGATGCCGGTGCACCATACAATAAGTTTTAGTTTTAGTAGGTGTTTTACGGCACTTGCAACACAATAAGTTGAATAAGGTCATATTATACGTACCGAAGATTAGATGTGTTACAAGAGAGTAGCAAACACAAAAAAGAAGGAGGAAAGATACGGCCGATAGATGTTTGAAAAGAAATAAGGAGCAGACCACACCAGAGCACCCGTCAACCCTCCACGCACCATACAATAAATTATTTACCGGTGTCATAAGGAACAGAACAATCAAGAAGGTGATAAGTCCCAAGTAGACCTGTAAATGAAATAATGGAACGCGGACACTATAATCACCGGCTCCTTTTAGTTTAGTTTTAGTAGAGGGTTTTACGGCGCTCGCAAGTGCATAAGGTCATATGAGCGCCAGAAGATTGAGGTGTTACAAGAGAGTAACAAACATAAAAAAGTAGAAAGGGAGATAAGGACGATAGATGTTTGATAGGAAAGAAGAAGCAGCTCCTTTGTGCAGTGGCGAGATCCTTCGCTGCACACATCAGAGACTCGAGAACGATCCTAAGTTGGGTGATTTTTATAATCGAGCATCTGGGTCTTTCTGCAGAGAAAGTTGGTCCTGCCAAGCAGGGTCGAAGCCCATTTCATGAGATCTACATTTTGGCACTGAGGGAGTTAAAAACGCCTACATAAACATATTTAAGAGCTGTTTGTTCCTGTTGGTAATAATGCAAATCGACAAAGAGTCGTATAAATAACAAACGCAACAACAGGAGAAAGGTAACAAACGAGATATGAAAAGTAACAGTACGACTCAAAATAAACAAACGCAATAATGAGCGACAGTTTGGTGTGATAATAAAACGAGGACGGTAAGCGGTTGTCTTGCCAATTTATTATTCACACACCGCACCTATCAGAACAATATGGCGCAATTTGTTCCTTAAAGAAAAATTATTATTTTTAAAACAGAAATTATAGTAAAAGTAAAATAAAATAAAATGAAATAAACTGACAGCTGAAAGCGTAAGTATGGAAAGTATGCTTTATTTGAATAGTGCTGCCCAGACAAATTAAAACTTTCCGCTGGTACAAACATGGATTGATCGATTTTAATACATTTTGGAATCCTACACATGGAAATTTTGCTTCATATTTGTTTCCGAACCCAGACCGGCTAAATTATCACCTGGACCTGTTCTATACGGCTTTTTACAATCTTCTGGTGATAGCTGTTGGTGTATCACTTAGAACCACATGTTGAGTTGGTTGTTTTTGATTTTTAAGTTTAAAAATTTTTTAAAACTAAGATGCCCCACTCTTCGAATTACTTATGAGGATGTCTTTAATTTTTCAAACCATGACTCCAAATGATCAATTTGATGCCCGATATCATTCCAGTCAAAGGAATATATAAAGAGAGATCTCGTTACAAAAATAAATGGACAAAAAAAAACAACTCATGAAACAAAACAAGGCTTGGGGTTTACAACTGTATGCTGCCGACATAGCTGTGAAATGTAATATTTCTACAAACTGTGATTTACATATCGTATGATGTCCTGATGGGTTATCCCTTATTATTACAATACTATCTAAGTGTCCAGATCCAATAAAAGGTTCCGATTGCGTTTATGACATATTTATGGTGAAATTTTATGACCGGAGACAGAGTTCAACAGAAAGAACATTATCACAAGAACGAAAGCTACTGTTGTTAGTTGCATCTTTCTTTATTTACTGTGCCTTGTTGAGCATTTTTTTTATCCCTCTGCAAGATGAAAATGTGTAGTCTTTATTGCTGATGACTGACTTATCATCAGGCGGACAGAAGGTATTCCCCTGTCTTGCGTTCACCCTCTGGGAACAATGGAAATAGAAAAGGTAATATTACAATATCACCATTACTTGGTTTATGAGGGAACTCTTTTCTTCCTGAATTCACGTACCCACAACTGTATGTACGTGTGCATGTGTGAGAGCTTTGGAACACGTGTACAAGAGTGTACAGGTGAATGTTCCAGCTTTGTTTGATTTGTGTTTACATATATCATTATTAATATATAATATAATAATATTGTATTATATGTATGTGTGGGTGTCTGTGTAAAACTCAGCCATACGACATTTTGAAAAGTGATGTATGACGGAGTCTGGCACTGGGCTGTCGATCATGATATTATGCCCTCTCGTTCAGTGTATATGACTGTATATGAGCGAGTTGAGGCCCACTTCTTTTTGTCCCTGAGTTTTATTTTGCTTGCTCCTCTAATACGTTTCTCTTTTCTTTTTTGTTGTTGTTGAAAAATACAGAAATAACTACTCGTCTGAAATAGCGTACGCTCCGAAATATAAAATGTTGGACAAATGTTAGAATGTACTAAGCCCAACATTTTGAAAGTAAAAAAAAAAAAGAAACAAGTTTGCAATAATGGCATCAGTTGCATGTGCTTGAGAAATATAATTTTGTCGAAATTTAAATTCTATATAGGTCTATTGGGAAAAAAAACGCAAATAAAAACTCTTTAAAGTTAAAAAATATAGTAATATAAAAAAAAAGAAGATAAAAGACTAAAACAATTTTTTTTGTAAAAATCAGATTAAATTCAATTAAATTTAACCAAATAAAATAAAATAAGATTGAATTTTAAAAAACCCAACCCAACCCACCAACACACAATTCCATAATAAGGCTACGACTTTTTAAAGAATGAAACTTTTCTACGCTCCCCTGTACACTTTTACTCTCGGCGCTTATTACACTTTTTTTTAAAAGCTGCTAGTCAACAATCACAGGTTACCCTACCCACCTTAGGCAGAAAGTCATCTGGGCAGGACAGGTATCCCTGGGCGGTTACAGAGCGGCCCCCAGAACCATCATGAGGATAGACAGGGGCAGCAGACACGTGAGCCGAGACACAGTGAGGCCAGAGGCGCCCATGGTGGCGGCGTGCGGGTTGACAACTGGGGGCGGTGATCGGATCGTTTGGTGTTCAGTTTAGGTTCATTAAGAGTTAAAAGTTTTACGGTACTTGCGACACAAAAAGGTCATCTAAATGTCGAGAATTAGAGGTGTTACTGGAGGGTTTCATTCTAAGAAAAGAAGGAGGAAAGATGTTTGGTTAGAAAAATTGGCAGATCACTTATCGGCATACAAGTTTAGTTTTAAAAGAACAGTTTAACTGCGTTTGACAAATAAATGTGTACATGTAAAAGCCAAAGACTAGAGGTATTACTACAGAGTAACATACATAGTAAAGAAGGAAGAGGGATTTGGGTGAAAGGCGGATGATGGGAAAGAAGGGACGAACCACATTAGAGCACCCGTTAACAAGAAATTCAGTTGGTTTGTTAAAGCAAAAATACGTTAATCGACGTTCTAGTTTAGTTTAAGAAACAAAGCGTTACATGCAAAGAAAAGAAGGATTGAAGTTAAGAACTATATTATATTATGTGATAGGGAAGGAGGAGCAAACCACGCCAGAGCACAATTCGCGATAGGATTAGTTGGTTTCTGTGAGTAAAGAGAGGCATGAATAGCGACATTTTAACGGTTAGCTACTTCAGTGTCTTTGTTCGCTTGAATCATGAGATGCACATCGACACAACAACGGTCATTTAGTGCAGGAATTTAATCTCGTAAGGATTTTTCGGTACTTGCATCTCATATAGGTCAAATAAGTGCCCCAAATTAGAGATTTTGCAAGGAAATAATATAATATAAAGAAAAGAAGGAAGCGAGAAAAAAGGACGATAGATGTTTGATAGGAAAAAGGGGAAAGCCACACCAGAGCATCAGTCAATCGTTTGGGTATTTTTAGTTTTAGTAAAGAGTTTTACGGCACTTGCAACACAATAAGGTCATATAAGTGCCGAATATTAGAGGTGTTACAAGAGAGGAACAAACACAAAATAGAAGGAGGAGAGATCAGGACGATAGACGTTTGATAGGAAAGAAGAAGCAAACCACAAGTGACAACAATTATACACAAATTTGCAAAAGAAGCCAACAAAATTCCTTTATGCTTCCTTAAAATATTGTTACTTTAGTTTAGTAAGAATTTCCTAGCACTCGTACCACAAATAGGTCAAATAAATGCCGAAAATTAGAAGGGTTACAAAGGAGTAACACGCAAAGTAGAGGAGGAAGAGAGAATAAGGATGATAGTTGTTTAATAGGGAAAAGGTGCAAACAATCCCAAAGCAGCCGCCAACCACCCACTTAGGTCTGTAAGACATGTCGACGCTAACAACGTATTTGAGTCGTCGTGGTAAAAACAGGCACTCGTGAAAATAATGAAATTGAAGACATCAGCATTTTCCTTCCAGTGGGAATTTTAAATGTTTTCTTTTTTGTTGTTGCTCGAAACCCATTTCTGTGTGGATTTTTACTTTAAAAAACCCATCAAAGGCACACACAGTGTAAATTTACAGTTTTCAATGCCTTTCAGTCTTTGAAAATCACCAAACTTTGGCGGCGGTTTTCTCGCTAGTTTCTCCTCTGACACCTGGGACCCCTACCTCTTTCAATCACAAAAATCTCTACTTCTTTTCAAATGAGATGGGGTTTTTATTATCTAAAGCATGACAAATAAACAAGCTTTAACTTTAAGATGATACCAATAATTCCACATGCCTCCTAATTGACTAGCGCCTGGTTATACCGTGTCGCAACCCAAAATAATAAGTCTGAGGACGCGGTGAAATGAGGCACTCTTCAAATTTTGGGCATATGGAGTTATTAGTATCATTTTAAAGCCTGTTCATGTATCTTGCTTCCGTTAAAAAATGCCCATTTATCTTAAAACACAGTCGAGATATTTGTGCGACTTAATGACGAGGGGATCGCCTGGTTTCTGAGGTCAAGTTAGTGAGAACATGGAAGTCAACGTTTGGTGATTTCCGAAGTTTTAGAGTCTTTGGAAAGTGAAAATTTACATTTTGTGGCCTTTAATCAACGTTTTTTCTTGAAAATCCGTAGAGAAATGTGTTTCTGAATGGTTTTAAACGTTGTTGAGCCAAAAAGCAAAAATTTGATAAAAATTGCCCGACCGGCAGTAAAAATGCCGTTTACTTCGATTACATTATTTTGACGAGCGCCTGATTTCACCACGATGCCTCACATGTTGAACTCACAATCCAGCCCTATGGATCGTGAACGTTCGCAGCCCGCCTCGTTGTACTCAAGGCTGTAAGCACCACTGAAGTCTATTTCGGAGATGTCTTGGTCTGTCCAGTAAGCGCAGGGATCATCTCCTTTGTTTGTCGCCAGCTCGTTCATCGCGTTTACTCTGATAGAAAAAAACAAAAACAACAACCGCTGTTTGACCTCAGCTCGATGTTTCGTTTCGTTTTGTTTTCTTTTTGTTTATCTTTGTTGTTTTTTGTTTTGTTTTAGTAAGAGTTCTAGAGCATTTGCAGCTCAAAAAGGTCATAATGTATCTTCCAATGATTAGAGGTGTCATAAAGAGTAATAAACTCAACAGCAACAACTTCTTTTTAGTTTAGTATGGGGTTTTACGGCGCTCGCAAATGCATAAGGTTATATGAGCGCACGAAACACAAGTTGGTTTTTTTCTATAAGTGGTTTACTGCACGGCTGTGTATGAGCTGTTTGATCTTAAAAGTTAAAATATTAAAAATTTGGTGTAGATATATAATTTTAGACTAAAACAACTTTCATAAAAAATTTTAATCATTCAATTTTGTTCTATACTACAATTTTCCATAAAAGCCAATGGCCTTCATAAAATTAAAAATTATGTGGGGACCAACGACGGAAAAAATGTCTTGCAATTTTTTTGCATTTATAATATTTCCTTCGGATCTCTCCAAAGTCTAGACATTTGCTTAAAAAGGGTCTAATGGTAAAATCTGTGTCGCATAATCGAGTAAAAATAACTTCATCTCTTCTGGAGAGGTCCGAAGGATTTTGCGGTCCCAGTTTGGGTTTTATATTATAAAGTTTGTTATTTTTCTGTTTTTTTGCAGTGGCTCTCCCACAGACTGGAGGTGTGCTTTTTAACTTTATTTTTGAAGTCAGTCTGTGGGAGAGTGTTCGTCTTTATCCCAACAGAAGGGATGAGGATTTCTTCGTCAGGTCGTCTACCTGCTCGTTTCCTCGGATGCCAACATGGCTAGGTATCCATGCGAACATGATATTTTTCTTGTTTTCTTGTTTCAGATAGGGTGTGAATTTTCTGTAGTGGCCTAACTATTTTTTGGGTGTAGGAGTGTGTAGTTTGTGAGTGAGGTGATGCAAGACAGAGAGTCAGAAAGGATAAGGAAAGATTTGTTTGGAGAGTTTTCTACGGAGTCCTGTGTCATGTTAATGACAGTGGCCTCCGCAGAGAAAATGAAGGCTTCAGGATGGAGTCTCCTCTGGTGTATACTGTTGGAAGATAGGGCTGCGGCGCCCACATCATTGTCTTTTTTGGAGCCATCCGTGAAGATAAGCTCCGCACCGGGGTATTTATCTAATAGTTTTTTGTATTCTGCTTTAAAAGTTTTGATGTTTGTTCTTTCTTTGCTGTGTGTGTGGTCAGAAGTCTACTTTTGTCTTGGTGAGGTGCCACGGAGGGAGGTCGGGGAAAAGAAATGGTTGGATGTCTTGTTTGGAAAAAATGTAAGTTTTTGAGGTCCTCACGGATTCTGAGGCCGAAGGGTTTGATGCGTTTTTCGTTGTTTTGGAATTTGTTTCTGGTTTCTGGGTTTGTTTTAAAAATGCAGTTGTGCGCTGGGTTTTCCGGTGTTGAGCTCTGTTTAATTGCGTTTTGTAGTGAGAGTTGTGTGCGTCTGAGTGAGAGTGATGGTATGTTTGCCTAGGCCTGGAGGCTCTCCACCGGGGAAGTGCGGAAAGCGCCCAGAGCGAGGCGGAGTCCTTGGTTTTGTACTGGGTCTAGCATTTTCAGGATGTGCGGTTTGTGCTGGCCATGATAATTTGGGCAGCACGGACTAACCTTGCACACATTTTCAAGATGCCAGGTCTTGCCACAGCGAGGACACACGGCTGCGTGTCGTCATCACGATTGTCTATGGCCAAACCTCTGACACTTGAAGCGGTGAATGGTTACGGCACGTAGGGTCACACGTCTAAGACCAAGCAAGATGCCCGGTGGCTGGAGGGCGGCACGAATCGAAAGTAAGAACAATCGGGTTGGTGTCAACTGTGGTCTTACCCTACCGAAGAGTAACCCAGCAGGCTCCGTCCATACCCTCGTAGTTTAACACAATTTTCTAATTTCAAAGCCTTTCGACTGATTACATTGTTCGTGTCGCTCGGATATACAAGAAATACTAGCGAAGGTCGTGGTCCGTTCAAGTTCTGCCAGTTCTTCTTCAAATGCGCGCTTTACGTTCGAAGGGATGCATTCCACAGAATGTCGTAGTGCATCCCCAGTATTGAAGAAGTTAAGATCTGCTATCTTCTTTTGCACATGGATGCTGCAGATGGTCAAGTACGGCTGCCGCGGAAGCTCCATGGGAGGAGGGAGGGCAAAGACAGCCGTAAAGGTCCTTTTTTCCTTTTGAGGTTGGTATGTTCGACTCGGCGGCCGCACCTGCTTCCGTGAGCTGAGAAATTTTCGAACAGTTGGGAGCTGGGGATGAGGCTTTCAAGAGTTTTGAATCCATGAAAATTTAGTTTTTGATTGGACTCTAGGATTCCCCACTCCCCACCGAACCCAACAAGTACAAGAGGACACATTGCTCAGATAGCCGGAGCTGGGCCAGGGCTACCCCGGAGTTAGACTCTCCTCGAGAGTGTACGAGACTCTCTCGTCAAGATTGATCCAGGAACTGAGGGGGATTCTGCTCCCCGCCGATTGAGCGGCATTAGCCGTGCCACCCTCCCGTCTAAGAGAAAAACCTGGTCAGAAGAGGTGTGTTGGCGATGACAGTCTGCAGACTGATCTCACGTCAACCTCAAGGTACCTGGTTTCACTCCGCACGGGTCCTACATCACGGTCAACGTGGCGCCCACTCTGATGGGATGGCCGACCTCTAGTTTTACTGCACATGAGGGCAGCGGTGGAAGAAGAGATAGAAGTAAGAAAGAAGGAAGGAGAAGAGGTAGATACACCAAAGACGATGTCGCACATAGATCCAGTAGCGTTGGAGTCATTGTGCGACATTATAATCCCCAAACTCATCGGGAGGGGGAAGGGACGGAAGCAGGAGAGATGAGAACGATATCTGTTTGATAGGAAAGAGAGAGAAAACCACATCAGAGCAACCGTCAACAAACCGCTGTTGTTTAGGATTGCTTAAGGAAAAACTCGGCTGAAAGGGAAAAAAAGAAAAGATTTAAAGAGTTGGAAGGGACCTAATGTATTATCATGTAAAAGGAATACCGAAAAGGTTCTAATAAGTATGGTGTGTAGAAAAATGAGTTACCTTACCGTTTTTAGTCTAATGGAAATTGATACATTAACTTTGTTGGTGGAGTTTGGTCAATTTGTAAGTATGGAATAATAAAAGGCATGGTAGACTTAAAGAACATGGCATCAAAGAAGAATCTATAAATACAGCCCCAGTGTTGATTTTCGGCCGATATCTCCGATGTTGGATTCTGAGAAGTAACTCATTTTGTTAGTACACTTCACATACCCCCCCCCCCTCCTCCAAAAAGCCATTAAAAGAATAAGTGAATAATTGAATAAAAGAATACATTTAAAGATAGAGAAAGAAAGAAAAAGATAAATAGATAAATAGATAAATTAATTAATTAATAAATACATCACCTGAAAATGATGTTGAAAGGCTTAACGAGATTCTGGGCACAGAAGGAAATGTTCTGCTTTCCTGGGTCCTCCAGAGTGATCGTTGTTCTATTTGCCAGTGGTTCCACGCTCATTTCCTTTGAGTTGACAGTTATCGTCAACGTTAAATCCACTGTAAACAAAATAGATAATATAGGATAAATTTTAGTCAAAGTAAAATATGATGGTCCATTAATCATATGTGATACAACCAGTGGAGTGAGGTGCTCGTCCAATATTTGGGCATGTGGAGTTATTGTTATAATCTTAAAGATTGTTTAGTTATCTTTTCATTTGATGAAAAGAAAAGTACTTTTCTTAAATAAAGTCGAGATACTTGCGTTTTAAAGAGGTGGAGATTGCCTGGTGTCAGAGGGAAAATTATCGAGAGAATGGTCGCTAAAGTTTTGATGATTTCCACGGCTTGAGTTTCCTTGGTAAGTTTAAATTTATTTCCAATTTTGTGTGCCTTCGATCAATGTTTTTCCTGAAAATCCACAAAGAAATGTGTTTTTGAATAGGCATACAAGGTGTTAAGCCATTTTTTATTTCGGTAAAGAGCGGGAGAAAAAAAATGTTGGTCTCTTAGATTTCATTATACAAGTGATTAAAAAAATACGCCACAATCATCCCGCGTTATTTGAAAAAACGAAAAACATTAGAAAACTCCAGCTTGGACACGTGTTGTGCATACCTTCAAGTTTTACCTGTGCTCAAAGCGGCCACCACCGGCAGCATAGACAGCATTAAGACGAGAGAATTGCTCCCAAACGCGTCTTAAAATGTTTCAGTCCTTTGTGTTGCTTGTAGCCGTCATTGGATCTTTCATGCTATCGATATTAGTTGGAAGTGGTGGAACATTAGCTTTGTCTCTTATCATACCCTAACAAACAAAGCAAACAGAGTGAGGTCCGGGATCTGACAGGCCAACCGCAGAGAGCGAGATCTTTAGCATTTCCACTTCCAATCCACTCCTAAGGAACGTTTTCGTTCAGATAAGTTCAAACCAAGAGATGCAAGTGAAGTGAATAGACACTTCTCATATCGACTTGATGATTTCTGTACTGCCGGTGGTGGCCACATTAAGCACTGGTAAAACTTGAAATACATTTTTTAAGGTATGTACCATACATGTGTCCAAGCTGAGATTTTTATTGTTTTTCTTTTTTTTAGATATTGTGTGAGGATTTTTAGCGTATTCTTTTTTAACAAAACTGTATTTGACGAGCGCCAAATCTCACAATGATGAGAACAGCAGGCGATTAAAAAATAAAAATAAAAGATTTACTTCATAAGGACTGATACGCTGATATATGAAACAATAGACTTTAAGGGGTACTTATGCGATGAAATAGTGGTAAAAGAGGCTGGAGAAGCTAAAGAATGCCTACATCTCCAACTCCACAATTTTGACCAAAATTGGGACTGTCAGGTTATTGTGCCCCGCCCCCCCCCCTCCCACCTTTTCCCTTAATATGTTAAAAGTTGTTGAATGTCTGGAGTGTGCGCCCTCAATGAGTAAAAACTGTTTAGTTTTAGTAACAGTTTTACGTCAGTTTGCAACACAATACGGCCATATTCGTGCCAAGTACAGAGGGGACATGGGCACAACCAAAAAGTAGGAGAGATCAGGACGGTATTAAATGCTTGGTAGGAAAGAAGGAGCAAACCTGCCAGGACATCCATCAACCACCCAGGGAGTTAAAGTAGCAGGATCCGAAAAAAATCACTATATTGTGCTTTTTTTTCTTTTTAAGTGTGCTTGAATCATTTCAAAACAGAATTTAAAAAAAAACTACTTACGAGCATAAAAATTGTTTGCCTGATGCTGTGGTGGAATTTATTCATCTAGTGTTTAAAGACTTACCTGAAGTGGGATTATTGAAGAGGTGCTTGCATGGAAAGACTAAAAATGTAAATGAAAATTTGAATAAACTGATATGGGGCAGATGCAGAAAAGAGTATTTTGTGGATAGATACACCTTTGAGGAGGCTGCATTGAGTGCTCTAAGCTACTTGAATGATCGTTTTAGTTCAGTTGAAAAACTCTAGAAAAACAGCAAGGACATTTCCAAGAAAAAAAAATGTCGTGTTGGGGTCTTGCAGTCTGAGACGAGTGCGACCCGCAAGTCTTTTAGGGAGACCAAAACGAGGAGGAAAACTTTGAGGGCCATCAGAAGAGACTTTCAGGACAGTGCAAAGGAGAAGGAGGGAGATGTATACAGTCATGGTTGCCATTTAAGGAAGGCAGTACTTACAATTTGTTTCAAATATGAATTTCAAACTACTTTTTTCGTTTTTGTTCATTTTCTAAGTTTCACATTTTCAGCCTAGATGCCATTTTAAAAACATGATTGTGAGTTAACTACTGTTAAGATATCAAATTGAAATTTTGCATACTGATTTGGAAGATAATGCATGTCCTAAAACTCAAACTAAAGATATGTCATTCTAATTTATCTTTTTGTGAAGGTCTTTCACGTTTAATAAGCTTTTTTTCACATTTCTTAGAGCCTACAATAAAAAGAAACGTTTTGTCTCAATATCTAGTTTAAAAAAAAAATTCAGGACATGAAAGTGGTATTAAAAAAGCTTTCCAAAAGTTTCTTTAAAAAACAATAAGTAGTTAATGAATAAGAGTGTTTGAAATGAACCCTATTTATATTTTGTGGCGAGGGTTATTTTGAATGCCTAATTTGCTTATTTAATTTTTTTTTGTACCTGTCCTAAAATTTCTGTATTGATATATAGTATACATATAGGTAAAATCAAACATGGTGGTATAATGTCCCAAATAGCCTTCTTTAGGATTCTACCACCTTAACACAATAGTTGACCCCCCCCCTCTTTCTTTCTCTCTATGTGTCTCAGTATATGTCGGTCTGTTTCCTATCTCTCTCTCTCTCTCTCTCTCTCTCTCTCTCTCTCTCTTTCTCTCTATCTCTCTCTTTCTCTCTATCTCTCTCTCCCTACCTCTCTATATCTCTCTCGCTTCACTCTCTCTCTCTCTCTCTCTCTCTCTCTCTCTCTCTGTCTTTCTTTTTCTCCCTCTCTTTCTCCACCCTCTCTTTCTCTTTCTCTTACTCTCTCTCGCTCTCCCGCCCCTCCCCCTTCTCTCTCTCTCTCTCTCTCTCTCTCTCTCTCTCTCTCTCTCTCTCTCCTCCACTACCTCTCTCTCACGGTTTTTCTTTCTCTCTCTCTCTCTCTTTCTTTCTCCTTCTCTCTCTCTCTTTCTTTCTATCTCCTTCACTCTGTCTCTCTTTCTAACCCCCGTTCTCTCCTTCACTCTCTCTCTATCCCCCCCCCTCTCTCTCTCCAAGCAGATAAGCCTCACCGTAGACAACAGGCGAGTTCCCTACATGCTGTTTGATGGGATCTCCCGTGCCGTTGGCAGGCTTCCACACGGCAGTCAAGGCTTCGTTGCTCTCGGCAAGGACGGCGGTCCTCTTGATGCCAAGTATGGCGTTGCTGGAGTTGCCCACACAGTAGCAGCCCTCTTCTGGCGCTTTGTCCTGGCACCCCGACATGGAGATTGTGCAGAGCTGGTGCAGGGAGTCGATTCGTGGTCAATTATTAAATCTAATGTTCTCCTGTCAGAGTGCTGACTCGAAAAAAAAACCACTATAAGAAAAACAGAAAAATAAACAACAACAACAATAACAGCAACAACAACATAACAACAAAAACAAATGGCAACAAAAACAACAAAAACAACAACAACAACAACAACGGCAACAACAACAATAACAACAACAAACAAAAAAAGCATAAAATAAAGCAAAACAAAAATTTTTAATTAAACATTTTTAAAGTAAAAAAGCCAGCGGGCTACCACGGTGCAAATTCACCAGTGCAGTGTTGTGAGTGAAGCTCCACCATTGAGACAGACCTACAGTTCAGCCATTTTGAAACACCTTAGACCGGCAAACAGAAACAGTGTTTTCAAAGTCGTTCTACCCCGTGAAATGAGACCACGTAAACGGGGAAGGAAGGGAGGAGTACGTTTGAGAGCGAGATGAAGAATGTTTAAACCGTTTTTACCTTCTATGGTAACTGGTAATGCAAGGTCACTAAATAATAAAATGAATGAACTCTGTGCAAATGTTAGGTTTCTGCACGAGTACAGAGAGGCCTCGCTTATTTGTTTTAGCAAGACGTGGTTCAAGGACAGTGTTTCTTCTAACAGTGTGGACATTGACGGATTCCATCTGGTGCGTTGTGACAGGACGATTGACTCTAACAAAGAACGAGGCGGAGGAGTGTGTGTGTATGTGAACGAGAAGTGGTGTAGTCGTAATAATATTCATGTTAAACTCCAACTGTGTACACCTGACATTGAATGTCTAACTGTTGGTTTACTCGCCCGTACTATCTACCGAGGGAATTTCCTAAGATAACAACTAACATTGTTTATAGTCCACCACAAGCCAATGTTAAAGTTGCCACGGACACTTTTGGTCGAAATGATTCACGAACAACAGTCTTCTTGTCCTGACGGTGTAATAGTAATCACTGGGGATTTTAACCAATGCTCTTTAACTTCTGCCCTCCCCACTTTCCACCAATATGTTAATGTACCAACCCGTGAGGACAAAACTATTGACCATTGTTATGTAAATGTTTCTAATGCTTACAAATGTATATCTCTCTACCTCCAATAGGAAACTCTGATCATTGCATGTCTCTTTTATTACCGAAGTACAAACCTAAATTAAAATCTTCAAAGCCAATTAAAAAAGTTGTCACCATCTGGAGTGAAGAAAACAGGGAGGGCCTGAGAGGTTGCTTTGAATGTACGAATTGGAATGTTTTTAAAGATTCATGTAATAGTATAGATGAATTATGTGAGACTATCGCTGGTTACATCAGGTTTTGTGAAGACCTACATTCATTTAAAAAAGAAATTATCTACTACCCAAATAACAAGCCATGGGTTAGCAAGGAGTTAAAGGAAATATTAAATGAGAAGAAGAAGGCATTCACACTGAAAGACAGAGACAAATTAAAAACAACAAATAATATGTTAAAGAAAAAGATAAGAGAGTGTAAGCATGTTTACAAAGAAAAGTTAGAACAACATTTCACTTCTAACAATACAAAATGACGTGGCAATGTTTAAAAACTATAGTTGGAGACACATCAAGACGGACAAACATTCCTACACAAGACACGAACCCAAGTCAGTTTGTAGACAAACTGAATTCTTTTTACGCTCGTTTTGACAACCACGATTTCTCCGACCAGCTGACAACTGTCAAAGAGACGATTCAAAATGACCACACAGACGACGACGACAACAACAACAACAACAACAACAACAACAACAACAACAACAACAATAACAACAACAACAACACAGACGAAGACTTTGATAAGAGCAAGGAAATGTTTGTGGTTGATGTTAATGAGGTCAAGATCATGTTTAATCGTCTGAAAGCTCACAAAGCGAGTGGACCCGATGGAGTAAAAAGTAGAATTATTCAAATGTGTTCTACTCAGTTATCTCCCATTTATACTGATATTTTCAATATGCCTTTGAAAGAACGAATAATACCACTCTCATGGAAATGCTCTGAAATAATTCCTGTCCCAAAGAAACAATCAATACAAAATTTGAACGACCTAAGACCTGTCGCTTTAACATCAGTCCTCATGAAATGTTTAGAAAAACTGGTTTTGAAGAACTGAGAAAATCAACAGAAGACATACAGGATAACATGCAATTTGCCTATCGTGCCAAGAGGGGCGTGGAGGATGCCATTCTCGTGTTCTTAGATAACATCTACAAACACATAGACACACCAAGAGATTACCGCAGGATACTTTTTGCTGATTATTCATCCGCATTCAACACAATCCAACCGCGCATAATGGTTTCAAAATTAATTAACATGAACATCAACAAGGACATTATAGCTTGGATTCTTGAGTTCTTAACCAATCGACCTCAATATGTAAAATTAAATGGTGCAAAATCCGACCTAATATTCACGAACATCGGCGCCCCAAGGCTGTGTAATCTCCCCTGTCTTGTTTACGCTCCACACCAACGACTGTACTTTTGATAACAAAAACATCAAACTAATAAAATTTGCGGATTATTCCACTTTACAAGGCCTAATAACAGCAAATGAGATTGAATACAGGGACGCTGTGAATATATTTACAAATTGGTGTGATAACCACTTCCTTATACTAAACGTAAAAAAGACCAAAAAAAGGAATTAATAATAGACTTTAGAGTAAAAAAAGACCAATTGCAACCACTATTTATTAAAGATGAAGAGATGGAGGTGGAAAGCTCTTACAAGTATCTTGGTGTAACAATCGACCACAAACTTGACTGGCATCCCCACGCTGCTCTTGTGCATAAAAAGGTAAATCAAAGAATGTTTCTCTTAAATGAAATTAAGAAGTTTCCGTGTTGACAATAAGATTATGTCCCTTTTTTACCATTCTATGATTGAAAATGTGCTATTATTTTGTATTTGCTGCTGGGTTGGGAATTGTAAGGTGAAAGATAAAGAAAAATTTGACAGAACCATTAAGAAAGCCAGCAAGATCTCTGGATATGATTTTATAAGAATGGATGAAATGTATAACACCACACGTATAAAAAAGATAAAAAGCATTATAAACGACCCATCACACCCCTTTCCCCACAAATTGTAAGATCACGCAGCGGCAGATATGTACCTCCAAAAACAAAGAAAGAAAGATATAAAAGAAGTTTTTTACCATCTAGCATAAGGCTTTTGTCAGAATGAGCATAGATGCGTGTTGCTCTTAGAATATGTATCTGTACATAACTCCAAAGGTCTAGTATTTAAATTCCTGCATGTGGTTGAATGATGCATTTGATGTAAATGTACATTTTGTCAGCTTTACTCCTCCTTTCATATTGAATTTTAATGAGAGTAATATATATGATTTAAATTTTTAAAAATGTATACCTGCATGTGTTTTTACGGTCCTGTACAGCCAAGGAAAATTTCCCTCTGGGATAATAAAGTACTATCTTATCTTATCTTATCTTATCTTATTTTACAATACCTCCCAGGATTGGCTTATTTATTCGAAATGGTACCAAAAACTAACTACAGCCCCCCCCCCCCCCAAAAAAAAAAAAACATCACGCAAACACACACACACACACACCTACACGCACACATACATACACACACAAACACACATACACACACTCTCTCTCTCTCTCTCTCTCTCTCTCTCTCTCACACACACACACACACACACACACACACACACACACACACACACACACACATACACCCACTGCCTTGCCTCTTTGGAAGACGATTTATGACTTTGCTTTTGTCAGTTCTTTTTGTCTGTTCGTTTTGTCTGTGTCTTTTCTCAAGCCTCTAAGCCGGATTTTGGACCGACAATTGTTATTAGCAAAAATGAAAGCACAATAGCTAAATTATGTTTAAAGCCCTTTTCAAAACTATACCCTTTTAAGACTTTTTCCCAACTTTAACATCCAGCCTCCAAGCGTAAAGAACAAAACCCTTTATAACAATAGTGCTCGTCTTAGGAACCATTTCGCTACCTCCATCGTATATAATTCACAATGAGTTCAAAATCGTTGACCTCAAAATTACATAGTTCTATCTGATATTTTGGGCCGTTTTGAGTCACTTAGACCCCGAGGTAAGAGGCCAAATGCTGTTTGCTCTATTAAAATCGTAAGATCATTCGGAGTCGATATCAAGAATCAAAGAATTGCGTTCGAAAAAGCTTAACGTGAGAAACTCAAAACATTTGACGGCGAATGTCTTAAAACTAGGCACTGAAAAGATAGAACTTTGTAATTCTTGGGTAGTGATTTGTTCATTTCTTATGATCAAACCACACATTTATTCAAGGACATACACATCTTCCAAAAATCCCAGACCATCCGAACCGACCTAAGATACAAAAGCTATCACGGAATTATTTTTTTCAGATCTCATGTTTTTAATAAGCGTTTTACAGCGCTTGAAACACCATAGGGTCATATTTGTACCGAAGATTTAAGGATTTACAGGAGAGTAAAAAACATAAAAAAGAAAGAAGAGAGATCAGGATGATATATGTTTGATAGGAAAGAAGGAGCAAACCACACCACAGCACCCTCCATCCACCCACTTTCAGATCTCAGCTAAAGCAGTGAGTGTAGGGATCACAGAACGACTTACCGATTCACAAAATTAAATGTGTGACCATTTTGGGCCAATCTCCTGCCAACTAGACGTGGATTCGGTTATTATTTTATATGGATAGGGACAAGGATCCCCCGGCTGTAGACGGGAAGTCGCTACCTCAGAAGTACAAAGTTCTATCTGCTCAGTATCCAGTTTTGAGAAATTTGATATAAAACATATTGAGTTTCACAACATGCTAAGCCTTTTCTTATGCGGTTCTTTGAATATCTTGATTAAGACTCCCAAAAACCTTACGATTCTGAGGCAGCGAGATGTTAATACATTCCCCGCTTGGAAATATTATGTTGCATTGTGTGGAAATCAGGCGCGCGTCGAAATAAGGAAATCGAAGAACCCGTATTTTTTCCCCACCAGTTGGTCAATTTCTATCCATTTCTCCTTTGGCTCAACACGTTTATGTCCATTTAAAAACTCAGGTCTGTGTAGATTTTACTGAAGAACGTTGATGATAAGCCCTAAAAAAAATCGAGCTTCCATCCTTTATGTGAATAATCAAAAACGAAACCAGTTCACCACCAACGTTGGACCAGTAGTTTCTTTTTCCTTTTTTCGGGGAGAGGTGAGGGTGGGAGTTGCGGGGGAGGTGGAGGGTTATTTTATGCAAAATGTACTAAAGGCAATAGAGACAAACCCACCCCCCCCCCTCCACAAAAAAGAATTAGATTGATTCAACATTTAGATACGCCATATTATTATTATTACCCCAGCACACCTTGTAGCATGCTGAAATGGGAAATTGTATAGGGTTAACGTCCCTATCAACACTAATAGGATATTTAAGAGGCCGGACCTCCGAGTTTAACGTTCATCTCCGAAAGGACCGAGCCAAGTGGGAAATTCGTATAAAGTTTCTTTATAAAGGACACAACGTCGGACGGAAATGAGGCTCGAACCCCAGAACCCACAATCTCACGATTACGAGTCCAGCAGCCTAACCATTAGGCCACCGACGCCACGTGGTATATTTAAACAATCTTAACTTTCTGGGAAGCAAACTGCCGTTTTACAGGGGCTTAAACACTAACATACTGAAAAGATCTTTCTCTGTCTGTGGTTGGTTACCCATTCTCACTAGGGTCAAATGAGGAAAATGTGAGTCAAAAAGTGCCTTTCCCAAGAACATAATGTCGGACCTGAGGCTCGAATTTCCGAATCGGCAACCTCAGGATTACAATTCCGGTAGCTTTTCCATTAGACTACCACCGAAAACTGTAATATCACTTCTTAACATACTAGATGTGCATTTCATCGTACTAAAATATATGTGAGGCAGCGTGGTGGAATCAGGCTCTCGTCAAAATAGTCAAAGTGAAGAAACTTTGTGAATTTTTATCAAATGTTTGTTTTTTGGCTCAACACCTTTCATGTCAATTAAATAACTCATTTTTGCGTGGACTTTTATTAAAAACGTTGATTAAAGGCACAAAAATGTAAATTTTCAGTTACCACGGACTCGTAAGCTAAGGAAATAACTACTCTTTGGCTGCCATTTTCTCACTAATTTTACCTCTGAAAACAGGTAACCCCCACCTCCTTCATTCACAAATATCTCGACTTGTATTCAAGATAAATAGATACTTTTTTTCATCCAAATAAAGACAGTGAACAAACTTTTAGATGATACCAATAACTCTATAAGCCCAAATATTGACAAGAGCCTGATTCCACCGCGCTGCCTGACATATTGATTGTTAAGCGCTTGGCGCTCCTGTTGAGCTGGGATTTACGCAATACAAATGCCATGTACTGTATACCTCTTCATTGTTCGCAGTCATAATAGCAATCTTGGATGCTTCGAACGCGGCGTTCCCGTCGGAAACGGCTATTCCCTCCACGGACCACTTGGCCCCCGGATTGATGCCACACGCAGGCGAGTACTTGAACGTCTGGAACTTCATGGTCTGCCCGGTTGTAGCTGTATGAGAAGGAAGATGGAGGAGTATCTATATATAACTGGGGGGGGGGGGGGGGGGGGGTACGTGTGCATAAGAGAACTGGACAAGGGAAGAGGAGGGGAGTGAATATAGACTCTGGATTTTTTATTTGACTGTCTGTCTGTCTGTCTGTCTGTCTGTCTGTCTGTCTGTCTGTATGTCTGTCTCTTTCTCTTACTCTCTCTCTCTCTCTCTCTCTCTCTCTCACTCTCTCTCTCTCTCTTACACACAATCGCACACACACACAGACACACAGACACACACATGCACACCCACACACATATACACAAACAGACACACTCAGAGACACACACACTTACACACTCCCCTCCCCCCACGCCCCCCCCCCCCCCACACACACACTCACACACTTTCAAACAGTTGTCAAAGCAGCCTGGCTCATAAATGAGCCAAATTGAATGGTTGAGGTTCAAAACACTTTTTTTTTCTTGTCTCATGTCCTGATTTTGGTGCCCTTATTTGTTGGTTACGTAAAAATGTATTGACATGGTGCCAATTGTTGTTTTCTAAAAAAACGAAACAAGAAAAAAGGGGAATTGTTTTGTCGATCATGATAATGATGGAATATTAATGGTGACGATGATGGTGCTCTGATGTTGCATATAATGTGAATATTAGTCTTAGTGTTAAGTACGTTTGGTGCTTATTCTAGATCCCCGCCAGGCTGTCCTGGTGGGGGTAGGACACAGCCCTCATTCCCAACTCCTCGCATAGAGTGACCAGAAATTTGGAAATAATTCGTCATCTTCATCCCTAGCATTTAATAAATGTATGTCGAAAAATCATACGTGGGGCCGCTTCTAAGTGCCCACATTGTTAGTGTGTTTGTTACCCTACGTCTATGCTATCATATTTTCAAAACAGCGAAAGGAGTGTGGTGTGGCCAATAACGTTTGTAATATTAATTTTCATAGTCAATGCAGTTGCGTTTCGTATGAAAAGACTAACACGTCTAGATTAACTGGTGTGCTTACAAGTTTTCGCTGTCGTTATTATTCCCCACGAATCCACAACCATTTGTGCCATCGTCTGAGCAGGTAAGAAGCCTGAAAAACCAGGGCCAGTCGACCAGCGAATTTCAGGATCGCCTCTTCTTAAAGTGATATAAGCAAATTCACAACTAATATATACATATTATATATATCTGTTTTCCCCGGTCAATATCAGTCGTAAGACGACATTATCAGCTACGAGGCTCGAAAGACAAAAAAGTGACTTTCCATTAAATTTTTGTTCTTTGGATCTATTGAAAGTTTGATGTTTTCTGATTCCTTTAAGATAAAAATAAACAACTATAACCGACTATAAACATTTTATTTTGACTTGTTTTGGGGGGGTGTGTGGTTTGTTGTGAGCTTTGATGACGAGATAAAGGAATTTAGACCAAGTTAGTGTGTTGCTGTGAGATTATTTATAGAGCCATTACCTTTGCTTCAACGTTCTTCATTCACAACTTTTTAAAGATTTTGACCCTTTTTCGAGCATGAATGGTCTGAAATATAAACAACTTGTTGTCACTATGCACAACTGAGGGCTGTGACTGGTTATAAACGGTGTAATAACGGTAACTTCTAGCTCACTTCAAGCTTGTTTACGTAAACAGCTGACTGTGTTGTGGTGCCCTGCTAACAGTTATCGACAGTTGATCTTTCAGTTTTACTCTTAGATTGACTTTAAAAATTCGTTTTCTAAGTGTTTCAGTGCTTTTAAAAGATTAATTAACCTTCCTTTCGATCTCTCAAAGCGGATTCCTTACCAAGAGGCCTCTGAGGCGGTCCATGTGAATGTCTGTGTATGTATGTTGGTCTGTTTGTATGTGTTTGTATGTATGTGTGCGTGTGAGTGTGTGTGTGTGTGTGTGTGTGTGAGTGTGTGTGAGTGTGTGTGTGTGTGTGTGTGTGTGTGTGTGTGTGTGTGTGTGTGTGTGTGTCTGTGTGTGTGTGAGTGTGTGCTCTCGTGTGTTTATGGTGCTAGTGCAAACGTATAATTAGGTAGTGTTAAGACGGCACGTAAGCCGACTCGACGCCTTCCGATTACGTGGTTTCGATAAATGGGGGTAGCTCAGATCTCTGTTTCTTTCCTCTTTGAAAAATTCAGATTTTCTTCATTACAATAGTGTAAGTTGTTTGTATATCCGATTATCTGGAGCTGGAGAATCGCCGTGGAAAGGGAAGTCCCTCAAGGTCGGAATGCGAGGTCGGCCTGTTCAAAATTGACACCCGTGAATTCGAATGCTTTGAAGAAAGATTGGTGATTAAATATATCGTCTTTCCATTGGCTGATTTGGCAAATGTGTTTTGTCCAGTCTCCATCTCATGCCACTTTTTGTTTTGTCCCAGCATGAGAGCGAGCTTAAGTGGAAGACTAGACTCTATTATACATAGCTATGATTGTGTGTGTGTGTGTGTGTGTGTGTGTGTGTGTGTGTGTGTGTGTGTGTGTGTGTGTGTGTGTGTGTTTGTGTGTGTGTTTACGTAATTTGATTATTTAATTTTACTTTTTTAACCTCTTTTTGCCTTCATTATACTCTTAGTCAGACTCAATGGTGCAATTCGCAGTCGCATGACATCACATGGGGATAGAGTGGGAAGTAATTTGATATAACATTTCCTGCACTTAATACGAACAGGTCTGTTTTTCAATTTCATTAATTGTGGCCTATAAATATGCTATAGATATATATATATATATATATATACTTTGGAGACGGGGGCTTTTAATGTCAGTTGTGTCTTGAGTTGTCGCTAGATGCAATTTTGCTTCCGGTCCCCCAGTACTGTGTGTTGATGTTTGTGTGCATATGTGTATATATATATATATATATATATATATATATATATATATATATATATATATATATATATATATATATATATATATAATATTGTGTTTGTGCCGGTCAATATCAGTCATATGAAAGAAATTTCAAAATTGAGTTAACATTATTTTATAATAAACTATTAGCTTTTCCCCACAATTTAAAAAAAATGAATGGAGTGAATATGCCAATATCTGACTAAAATACAGCAATTTTAATTGTGCAAGGTGAGGAAACACGAAAAAGAGAAAATGGCCTCCAAAGTTGAGCATCATTTTTTCCATAGCAATGGGGGTCTTAGAATTGAGATAGAGACTTGACATTTAGCTGTTAGCTTGGCTATGCCACTACCAGGTAACATAAATTAAAAAACCCAGCTATTCTTTCTCAGAGAAAAAAAAACTATGCACAAAACAAAATTTTCAAGAGAATGGACTTCACGTCAAATGCAACAAAATCAGTGCTTACGGTATCTACAGACCTCGACATAAGTTAAGGACCATTTGCAAACACTCTGAGTGGTCTTCTTGGGTCGACCTGCACGTGGGCATACTTGGACTGATCCAGTGACTTGGTGGCACTGCCTCAGGCGAACAATGACAGAGTGTGACATTGTGGGCCTTCTGGTCTTTTCTCAGGCTCCAACTCAATCCTGCAGCCATGCCACACCTCTGGCATTATCAAAGTCTCTCATCTTTCGTCTTGGTGGCATGTTGATGCGATACTGGATTTTGCGCAAACGGCGGCTTATATTATTGCCACCAAAGTAAGCACAGTTCGAGACATGTCCGTTTTTGACGTGCACTAGAAATTTTAACTGAATGATGTCCATAGTGTGGCACACAAGTCGATAAAAATCAGCAAATTTGGCTAAAATTGGTGGTTTTTGCCCCTTTAGGAAGCTTTGCAGTACGCGTTGGTAACACATTAAGTGGTCGTACGCACCAAAAAACAGTTGAGCTGAGCAGTAGCTGCGCAGAAGCTGAGCCGTCTTAAATCTTAGTAATATTTATACGCCGTTCGCACCAAAAGCAGTAGCTGCGCTGTATTGAGCAGTGCACTGCTAGCAGTGAGCAGTAAAATATATCTCCGCATTTACTACCGCTCAATGCTAGCAGTAGTTTCGTCATTTGTAGAATTAGCACACCCGCCAAACCTCGCCAAGATATCTCGATCAGCTCAAAACAGCAGGAGGCAGCTTCTACTTTCTCCTCTTGAAAGCCAGTACAACAAAACAGAAACAGAATACACGTGGTCCAAAATGGTAGAGAATGTTTCTGGGCTCATTCTAAAATATGACTTAAAGCACTCTTCGTCTCAATTTAAGTCAAGAAACAGGTGCTGACATTCTCCGCATGTTTCTCTTTGGCATTAATAGAATGAGCCCAGTAATATTTCTCGCCATCAAATACAAGAGACTGTTAATAGTGATGAAGTGTCTATCAAATGCATCAAACATGGACTGCCATGTTATGAACTGTCTCCGATACAAGCAGCCAGCTAACAGAGAGAGAGCTATAAATAGTACACACTGCTTTTATACTGCTTTTGTTGAGAACTTGTCAGCTGATACTGAGTAGTTCACGAGCAGCGAGCGAGCTGACAGCTACTGGACAGCTAGGCCTAGCCAAAACAGCTTTTGGTGCGGACACTCGAGCCTACTGCTCGAACTGCTCATAGCGGTTCGGCTCAGCTTCTGCGCAGCTACTCTTTTTGATGCGGACAAACCCGAACACTTTCAGAGCAAAAAAAAAATTGTAATATTCCTTGCTGTCTTTTTCCCAGTTTTTCTAAAAGCCAGGGCTTTTATGGAGGTCCCTAACTTATATTAAAGTCTTCATAATCCAAACACGGGCAGATGTGCACATTCCAGGGGTGTACAAAAAATAGAACAAAATGTGACACGAAGTTAGTAGTCTCAGCCTTAGCCTATCTTAGAGGAGTCTTCACATGGATTGATGACTACTCTTGGTTGGATGAACTGAAGTCCTTCCTTCTCCCAATACTCGTCCTCCATACGTTTTACATGCGCTTCACACTGCTGCCAATAGACTTTGTCCCCTCGAGATATTGCATTTTCTGTTAGCTGTTTGACACCTTTAAATAAGGTTGTATTTTGAAATGCTACCGTGCTTTTGATCTTCGCCCAGACGAATTCAATTGGATTTAAATTGGAGTGCTAGGGTGGCAACCGTAGGCAAATGTGTCCGTGCTGTTCAACAGTTTAATCAACCTGAATTCTTTTGGCTTTTCTGCTTTCCTTAACGAGCAAAAAGGAGTTCAGGTGAAACAGTGAAAACGGTATGCTCTCTTTGTTTAGCCAATCTTTTATTTCCTTTTTCCTGCTTGCGCTTACTGGAATTTTGTCCTCCTCCTCCACTACGTTGTGATATGACGTTGACATCAATAAGCAAGATTGTTTGTCCAGTGCAGATCATATTTTTTAAATAATCTTATTTCGAAATATGTTGCCGTTCATATCCTTGGGATAATCCCTGATGTCACTGGAATTTGTTTCGAAAATGAGTTCTGGTTTTCAAGTAAATCATTTTCATTGCTTCCACAGTGTGCATTCAGTCTCTTTCCTTTTAAAGCTCGAACGTGTCTTTTAATATGTCCATTCTTTGACTGCCATTCTTCTTGGAAAACATGGTGAGCGTTTATAAAAGTTTCGTCTAACAAGAAATTCTAACTGCTCCTCGGACAATTTCCCTATCGAAACCACCAGTCTTCAAAGGCCGCCCTCTCTTAGATCGGAGTCTCTTCAACCATTTCATGGTGCTTTTTATTATACATCTTGACAATGTGCTTCTGTTCAAACCTAAGACATGCCGAGTTCTTTCTTTTGGATTCTCTATATCATGGTACAGAGCTCCTCCCTTTGCTTCTATTTTAAAATGGGAGTAGAGCTGAAGTGCAACCTTTTGAAGAGTGGTGAAAGTGTGTTTGAATGACTTCTTTTCCTTCATAGTGCAAACAAATCGTTGACACAAAGCGAATTCAAGCACAAAACTTACACAGGAACATCCAGTTATTTAAGTTATTTTGTGAAATAATTCAAAATTCCAAAGCTAGACTATGCCTGGGGGCTCTCGTGGCCTAGAGGTTAAGGTGTTGGCCTCTCATTCAAAGGTCCCCGGTTCGAATCCGGGTAGCGACCGAAAAAAAATTTCTTCTCTAAAATTTGTCTCCTTTCACCCCCTTTCCTGCTCTCTGGCAATGTTCTGTTGTCTGCTTTCATTTCCACTTTCTGCCCCCACCCCCTCATCTCCTTTGCCCACTCCTCTAGGCTCCTGACTCTTTCTGCAGCCTTTCTACTGCTATTCCTTGGCTCCTCCTTACTGCTGTCTTTCTGCCACACCCCTGATCTTCTGGTAGGAAAGATCTACACCTAGCCTTCT